CGGGGGGCGCCCCATCATCGGCGGCGGCAGCGGCGGGGCCAGAGGGAGAGGGTCAGGCAGCCCGCGCGGCCTCAGCGGCGGCACCTGGGCGGCGTGCGTCGGCTCCTCGCTGCTGGTCGCGGTGGCCATGCTCTTCTAGCTTGCAGCGGCGAGAAGAACTCAAGAAGGATGGTTGGGCAATGTAAATGTTCTGTGGATTCGTTGGTTCTTTACTACTACTGTCGATTTGATTGTTGTTGTATATACGTACAGATACATTCGTGAGCGGATTGATGAATTCATTTGACATGTTCTATCTTGATTAAGTGGATTATGGGCAGTTTGTTCATATTGAGACACCGTATATGTGGATGTGCATGATCTCTCCTCGTCAAAGTATCGTAGAGACAGCCCATGTGATTTCGCAGTGTGTTTAGCATCAAATCAAATACTACCACACAAACATAGTTTATTTTCATAACATTTCACAGAACCACATCGTAGAAACATAATGTGGTTATGTTATGTCAAATACATACTCCCTCGGTAAAGAAATGTGGTTATGTTATGTCAAATACATAACATTTCACTGGACTAAATACTCTTATATTTTTTTAGGGAGAGAGTACATGTAAATATCTTAGATCTGTAGTCCATCATCTCGAAAACTCACAGGGGCACAAATGCATGCAACCACCCATTTGCTTCAAGATTGATGCATTAGTTTATGTCATTAACCCTTAATTGCTACACTTGGGGTCCATGCATGCTATCTTTTAGCAGAGTTGCATGCGTCACCCACCCCACCTCTCATGTTTTTTTATATTTTATCTTCAAATTTGAATCTATTGTATCTTTCAAACCAAAAGTACAAATTAAGTTTCATTTGCATATTCATGTTCGTTGCAATGTGTGCTTTCGAATAAGACTAGTTTTGGATACATTCAACACCTTTTTAAAGTTTACCAAGTTTCAAATATTAAAACTTGCTAGTCATAATATTATGTTTTACAAACTTATTATTTATTCTATCAAGTTATACTAGTTGAAACGCTTTTAGAACTTGTCAAAATGCTAGAGCCCTCACATGGTTTTAAGTTTCACTTTTGAACGTACTGATTTTATTGTTCATTTTAAGTTTCAGCAGTTGAAACTTAGCAAAATTTTAAATGCGTCAAAATGTATAAAAATTGGTCTTGTTTCAAAAGATATAATAGAATAAAATTGCAAGTCAAGAGAAAAGGCATGAGAAATGGGGTGGGTGGGGGTATGCACTCTCTTTCAAAGGTTGTACTAAAAACTGCATAGATGCAGTAATTAAGCTCTAATCACAAAACCATCTTCTGGATTTAGACGCAATCAAACGGCTGCATGCATGTATGCATGCCCCACCCCTGCTTGCCATAAATCATCTTCTTCGTTCATCTCACCTTCTTCTCCTTTCGTAGACCTAGGGTATCCCCCAACTCCTGGTGAAGGAGCAAAGGTAGAGAACCATGTAAGAAAGATAAAGTCAGTATGATAATAATGATGACAAAGGTAGAAGATGGAGATAACTAGACATAGAGCAGACCATGGCACATCCGCGAATGGCAGACAGAAATTCAGAAGCATTAACTTTACAACCCTGTTTGGAATCCTGAAAAGCCATAAAAGCCATAGTAAAATCGCAGGAATGCTATTTCCGTAGGAAATGTTCATTTTCTTTCCTTTGGAGTGCAAGAATCGTAGGGAAAGTGTAGGATAGGAATAAGGTTCCCTTTGAATTTTAGGGCATCTTTCTTTCACATGATAAAAACAGACATGAACAGATTTTTTTTTGAACATGTTACCATGACATGTGGAATCTTAGAGGAATCGAAGACACTCAAATTGCTAGTTGCATCACAGAAAAAAAATAAGAATTAGATTAAAAAATAATGAGAATGTGAATGGAGGGAGAGAAGCCCATATCCGATTCTTATAGAAGAGTGAACCCTCGAACCCGGGTTGGCGACAACTCGCCTTGAAGCTGTCTACCACTAGACGACAGGAGAGGTCTCACAAGAATTAGATATCATACCTCCGGGCTTATCCATCTCCAAATCAATTAGCCTACTGGCACTTGGGAAGAACCTCCTAGCGCCATGGCGAGTGCGTCCTGTTTTCACTCAAGCCACCTAGGTTTGAAAAAAGTTAAGGAGAAAACTTCCCCTCTTGGCTTTTTTTTAATTAGCCTACTAGCAAAGTACGTAAAATTATTTCCAAAAAAAGAAGAAAGGATGAATTCTCTTCAAAAACTGAGGTAATGAAAAGTTTTTTTTCTTTTTGCAATTTTGCACATGCTTTCAAATATGAGTGCGGCTAGATCTCAGTCGACTTAGACTTAATCAAATGATATAGTATGTAGGAAAAAGAAGAAGAAAAACTAAAAAAAATTACACAGATCTTCATGCAAGATCAAACAAATATCGAGAAAGCTAAGTACCTGCCGACTGGTCGTTAGGGATAGGCACGTACGATTCCCGCACCCGTACATTCTAAATCCCGCGACGGAAAAAAAAAGTAGCCGCAGCAGGATTAGAACCCCGCACCTGCAGCCTCACTACTAACCTTGCCTATATCTGATGACCATCTCAGCCAACCAGATGTTTTGTCTAGAAGTGGGCTAATTCTGTAGATATGTGATTACCACGAGTAGGCCACTGCTATGGTGCAGCCCTCCATTTGATTTTTTTTCTGTTACGAATTGGTAATACTCGGATTTTGTTGTATTTCTATAGAGAATTCATTTTCGTTTTTTCTTTCACTCATGAATCATTTTGTGATTCACTTCTTGATGGAAGTAGGCATCCCCGCAAGAACGATATTTCTATAGAGGATTCTACATGAGATGCCCTTGGACAGGTGGGAGATGTTGGCGAAGGGAAGGTGGCGCGTCGTGTCATGGTAGAACCCAAGCAAATCTTCATAGTAATTTGGTGAGAGAGGGATCATCATAGGTGGGAAGACTATATGTAGTTACAACATAACAATTGTGTAGTCATCGGGTTGTAGTCATCAACATGGTTATTTTTATAGTTATCAAGTTGTATATGTTATAGAAACATGATTATTGTAGACCGACTTACCCATTATTTGGTTTACAAAAAATCGTTGTAAACATTCCTCGGCAACTATTGTGTAAATAGCATGATAATATAGGCTTTCGGACCTGATATTTTACATGCAACCACCAGGTATTTTTGACCCGTGAGAAAAAGTTGTTGAAAACATATCACCGATAACTTTAAAGTAATAGCATGGTAAGATACGCCCCTAACCTGATAATTTAGGTACAAACACCATGATAACTTTGACCCGTGGAAAAAAGTTGTTGAAATTAAAACATACCGCGGATAACTTCTAAGTAATAGCATGGTAATATATGCCCTCGGACCTGATAACTCAGGTACAAACACCACGATAATTTTGACCCGGAGAAAAAGATATTAAAAACATACAACCAATAGCTTTTGTGTAAATAGCATGATAATATATGCTTTCGGACCTGATAACTTATATACAAACATCACAATAACTTTGACCCGTGGAAAAAAGTTGTTGAAAATATACCACCAATAACTTATGTGTAAAAGCGTGATAATATATGCTTCCGGACCTGATAACTCAGGTACAAACAACACAATTACTTATGACCTGTGAAAAAAAGTTATTGAGAACATACTCTATAAATAACATGGTAACACAGAATCCCGGACCTGATAACTTATTTAAGCACTGTAGACCTGATAACAGGTACAAATACCAAGGTAACTTTGAACCAGGTGAAGAAATTATTGAAAACATACACCGATAATTTTTATGTAAATAGCATGATAATATACTCATCCACATATGATAACTTACATACAAACACCCCGTTAACCTTGACCAGACGCTTTTTGTTGTTGAAAATATACCTCGGTAATTTCTGTGTAGATAACATGATCATTTAAGCACTATAGATCTGATAACTTAGGTACGAACACCACAATAAATTTTGAACCAGGTGAAAAATTGTTGAAAACATACGCCCGATAATTCTGTGTAAATAACATGATAATATACGCATCCACACCTGATAATTTACATACAAACACCGCGGTAACCTCGACCAGACGATTTTTCGTTGTTGAAAATATACCCCGGTAACCAAAATGCATAACTTGTGTGCAAAAACAGTGATATTTTTCGTAGCTAATAACGTAGACTCAAACACCATAGTAAATTTTCACCGGGGGAGAAGTTGTTGAAATATATCCCGATAATCTTCGTGTAAAGTTTGCACGTTGCCCATGCTAAACTTAGCATGCTTCTCACGCTTATCAGCATTATAATGATAGAGTTGTCAACCTTTGTCATGTTATTTGTTATCAGAGCGTTATGTTGAAGTTACCATGATGGTCATGTCATAGATATCACGCTGCTTATTCCAAGTTATCAAGACTGTTTTTTTTTTTGCTAATATGGTAGAAAGAATAAGGGTTCAAATACCCCTGTTTATGTATTGTGGACAATAAAAAAAGATGGGTGAGTTGGTTAGTGGCTGTAGTAGCTAGTTGGGAGACCAAAGTTTAAGTCCCCTTTTAAGCACTTTATTTCTTTTTTTTCCGCTATCTAGACTAATTGATATAAAACCAGCCGAGTGAAAAAAATCTATGAACCGAGATGAGATAAAAATCGGTGGAAAGAAAATCTAGAAGAAAAAAAATCGGGAAACGGGAGGATCGAAGGAAAGACGCAGTGGGTCGTTAGCACAGTCCAACAAATATAGCATAACAAAACTGTTCAAATATTTAGTACTCTTCCCTCCTGGCTGTGGACCCATGACGTGTGGTGCGACTAGTCAACAGATCTTGCCGGGTCAACTCTGGACCAGGCTTAAAGATCCATGAGCACAGCAGCTGCGCACACCCACAGCATCGAGTTGGAGGGGAGAGCAACCACACACCAAATCTACAAGCTGCCTGCGCTGGCCTGGAAACCTTGGAGATCACAAGATGAGAAGCTTCTTGCCTCTGTGCGCGCTCCTCCTCGTCCTGCTCTGCTTGGCTAGCCTCATGGACGTCACGGAAGGAAGGTTCCGAGCCGCAGGCGGCGGCGCCCGAAGCAGCGGCAACAGCAGCGGCGGCGGCAGCCCGGGAAGCCTGAGCGGCGGCACCTGGGCGGCGTGCGTCGGCTCCACACTGCTCGCCGTGGCGCCCATGCTGCTGTAAGCTGCTTTGAATCAGCAAGCACCTGGCGATTCTGTGATATGGCTGGCTAGCACCTAGCAGCCCAGCATATGTGATTTGTCTGGTGTGCAATTTGAGGTCAAGATGGATGGAGTTGGATGCATTTTCTTCCTCCACCTTAACTCCTTCGGATGGTAGCTTTATGTGATTGCGGTGTGTTTTTCCAATTCAAAATACGAATATGTCATATTACGATATCTACATCGTCTTCAAAATAGTACTTTGTCATTAATTTCCCACACCGAGGGACAGGCCCAGGACAGGAACGAGCGGAATCAATGTGTTCTAATTTCTGCCCTTGCACCGACCATCCAACGGACCATGGATTAAACGGCCACTGCCTGAAAGGACTATGCTATGTCCAGGGGACCGCCGGTTCTAACCGCCTTTCCTTTAAGTTTCAGTATTTGAAACTCTTTCTAGAATTATATTGTTTATTTAGTATAGAATAGGAGAAGAAGGGCTTCATTGCCCCCCAGTATTCCAGCATGTAGCTTTGAAAAAGGCAAGGTGTTGTTCAAGGTTTCCTATCCCATTCAACATTTTACATTTTGGCGCAATATATTATATCCCTTCCTTGGGGTACGGTACCATATCAAATTCATTTGGGCAACGGGATAATAAAGCGAACAAAGACCATAAAAAGAGATTACAACATCCAGAACAAAGCCTATCAAGCCAACCTTCCCTCACTGCGGTGCAAGCATGGTGCCTCATGCAAAGGTAATTTAGATGCAGAGACTAGTGTTATAGACCTGCTATTTTAGATGCAGTCAGGTCAAACCAAATGTTTGGATAGCATAATACGAAAAGGACTCCTACATTTTATACCACAGGTAGTAGTTTCTTTTTCGTTCGAGGGACGATAGGATGTAATAATTTTCTTTTTTTGGAAAATATCAAAAATTTTATAAAGATTCATTAAAAGTACAAAACACCCCAAACATAATAAATATTACATCGAGGTCAATGGACAACCGAGCGACCATTACCGCCGCCAGAACGAGCCACCAGCGTGCCGCTGTCGCCCCTTCCATACGGAGCTTGTCGATAACAACCGAAAAGTATTCGTGACATGCCCCTAAGGACCAGCGTTCGGGAGCCATAGTCGTCGCCATTGAATCCTTTAATCAATCTGAAAAACCTGACACCAAATTTCGCCGTTGCGTACGCACGACGAGAAACTCTAACCTTGCCGCTCCGAGGAGCTGGCGGGAATCTACGCCGGAGCTCCGTCTAACCCGTCCCGACATGTAATAGTTGATTAAACATATTTAGAATATATCCTCCTAGCATATATTTTTAACACAGTATATACGCAGATGCTCATACATAGGCACATACACTCAGCCCTAGAACGCACGCAGACACATCCTACCCCTATGAGCACCTCCGAGAGACTGAGCCGGCACATCATTTTGAGATTGATAAAGTCGCCACAGACATCTTTGTAGTCGAGAGGAACATTTCCTCTCACTGACCGCACATCGTCGGAAGGCCTGAAATAAATTCAGGAAAACGCGAGCACCAATGTCAAGTATGAGACTTGAACTCTGATGGGCAAGGGATAACACTGTCATCCTAACATATTTGGTGACATTGCAATGGATTATGATATATTCAAGGTTATTGCAAACTAATCTTGTGTTGGAACCTATCCACCCGGGTTCAAGTAACATACTTGTATTGATGCCTGCATTTTTCTCAATTTATCCTAGGATTTAATGTCTTTATTCTTTAAGTGATATAGCTATGTGCACATCAACAACGAGACACATGTGTGACTTCATCAATCTTAGGTCTAACCGACTTAGTATTTAGGAGGTGCTAATAGGGATAAAGTGTGCGTGGATCCGACATATTCCTCGACAGAATCAGTCAAGGTCCCCGGTTGGCGGCGGATCCTTGCAAGGCAGAGAACCTTGCCTGGAAGAAGCGGCACCGAAGGCGCGAGAGTGAGGCGACAGAGAAGATAGCGCTGGCGAAGGTAACTACATACACGGACTTGGTGGCCACTGCTAAGGACATGGACATGACGCAGGCCAATCCGTCGGTCCTGGCCAAGGAGACAAACAAGTTCTCGCCATTGCCAGACTCTGTTACGCCTCCAGTGGACGGGCATCCCGTATTTGAGCTTTTCGGAAGCCATCCCCGAGGCGAACATGATGGCCAACTCACGGTGCTCCAAACATCATCCGTCCTCGGGCAATGCCGGCTCCAGGCATGCTGACTTGGTGTTCGACGGAGTGCCTGACCAAGACTCCGGGCATCGGGATTCTTTTGTTGCACATATCATCAGATCATATTATTAGGACGATGGTTAAACTGTGATTCCTATTGTAGAAACAAAGATTGCATGGCATGATAAATAATGGTCAAGAGTCTTTGCAATTTACCATGGAGGATACCAATTCCTCGATGTTTGGATTTGGGCATACGTCACACACTAAAAAGAAGAAGAAAGTTGCGGAAGTTCTGAAGCCTAGAGGTCTCACATTCACACAATTTGAAGATGTTTTGTTGTCTGAAAGTTGGTGCAACACTAGCATGGATCCAATTTGCGGAACTGAGAAAAACGGTGAGAAATATTAGAAACAAAATCCACAAACTTTACCACGAGAAAAACACTATGTCAAGCCACACCCAATATGCACCAACCGTGTCTCGTACTCTCTTCAACATCGATGGTCACTCATCCAAGAGGCCGTTAGCAAATTTGATGGTTGTCTCAAACAAGTTGTAGGCCGGAACAAAAGCGGCATGGGAGTTCAAACCCATACAACTTTGGTGTCGGCTTTGTACGATAATTGGAGAAGAGCCATTCACTTTTTCACATTGTTGGTTGGAATTAGATAAACCCAAGTGGTAAACCGTCCCGTTAATCTTGAAAACAGAACGAAGAATATGGATAAAAAAGACAGGTCGAGTGATAACTCTTAAGTATAGGGGATCGCAACAGTTTTCGAGGGTACAATATTCAACCCAAATTTATTGATTCGACACAAGGGGAGCCAAAGAATATTCTCAAGTATTAGCAGCTGAGTTGTCAATTCAACCACACCTGGAAACTTAGTATCTGTAGCAAAGTAATATGATAGTAGTGGTAAAGGTAGCAAAAGGTAACAGTAGTAAAAGTAATGTTTTTGGTATTTTGTAGTGATGATAGTAATAGCAACGGAAAAGTAAATAAGCGAAGAACAATATATGGAAAGCTCATAGGCAATGGATCGGTGATGGAGAATTATGCCGGATGCGGTTCATCATGCAATAGTCATAACCTAGGGTGACACAGAACTTACTCCAGTTCATCAATGTAATGTAGGCATGTATTCCGAACATAGTCATATGTGCTTATGGAAAAGAACTTGCATGACATCTTTTGTCCTACCCTTCCATGGGAGCGGGGTCCTTATGGAAACTAAGGGATATTAAGGCCTCCTTTTAATAGAGTAACGGAACAAAGCATTAATACATAGTGAATACATGAACTCCTCAAACTACGGTCATCACCCGTAAGTATCCCGATTATTGTCACTTCGGGGTTAACGGATCATAACACATAATAGGTGACTATAGACTTGCAAGATAGGATCAAGAACACTCATATATTGATGAAAACATAATAGGTTCAGATCTGAAATCATGGAACTCGGACCCTAGTGACAAGCATTAAGCATAGCAAAGTCATAGAAACATCAATCTCAGAACATAGTGGATACTAGGGATCAAGCCCTAACAAAACTAACTCGATTACATGATAGATCTCATCCAACCCATCACCGTTCATCAAGCCTACGATGGAATTACTCACGCACGACAGTGAGCATCATGAAATTGGTGATGGAGGATGGTTGATGATGACGATGGCGACAGATTCCCCTCTCTGGAGCCCCGAACGGACTCCAGATCATCCCTCCCGAGAGGCTTTAGGGCTTGGCGGCGGCTCCGTATCGTAAAACGCGATGAATTCTTCTCTCTGATTTTTTTCTCTCCGAAACACAATATATGGAGTTGGAGTTGGAGTCGGAGAGGCATCAGGGGGCCCACGAGGTAGGGGGCGCGCTCTAGGGGGGCATGCGCGCCCCCACCCTCGTGGACAGGTGGTGGGCCCCCTGGCCTTCATCTTTTGCAGGTATTTTTTATATTTTCCAAAAAGTTGCTCCGTGAAGTTTCAGGTCATTCCGAGAACGTTTGTTTCTGCACATAAATAACACCATGGTAATTCTGCTGAAAACAGCGTTAGTCCGGGTTAGTTCCATTCAAATCATGCAAGTTAGAGTCCAAAACAAGGGCAAAAGTGTTTGGAAAAGTAGATACGACGGAGACGTATCAAATCCCCCAAGCTTAAACCTTTGCTTGTCCTCAAGCAATTCAGTTGACAAACTGAAAGTGATAAAGAAAAACTTTTACAAACCCTGTTTGCTCTTGTTATTGTAAATATGTAAGGCCAACATTCAAGTTTTCAGCAAAGATTATAACTAAACACATTCACAATAATGCTTAGGTCTCAAGTTTACTCATATCAATAGCATAATCAACTAGCGAGCAATAATAATATATCTCAGATGACAACACTTTCTCAAAACAATCATAATATGATATAACAAGGTGGTATCTCGCTAGCCCTTTCTGAGACCACAAAACATAAATGCAGAGGACCTTTAAAGATCAAGGACTGACTAGACATTGTAATTCATGGTAAAAGAGATCCAATCATAGTCACACCCAATATAAATTAACAATAATGAATGCAAATGACAGCAGTGCTCTCTAACTGGTGCTTTTTAATAGGAGGATGATGACTCAGCATAAAAGTAAATAGATAGGCCCTTCGCAGAGGGAAGCAGGGATTTGTAGAGGTGCCAGAGCTCGGTTTTGAAATATAGGTGAATAATATTTTGAGCGGTATACTTTCATTGTCAACATAACAACCAAGAGATGGCGATATCTTCCATGCTACACACATTATAGGCGGTTCCCAA